CAAAATTTTAAAAAATTTAATGACGATCGAATTTTGATGGAGACAAATATTTAAAATTTCAATCATTCATAAACCTTCCCTGGAGTCCCTAGATGTCCCACAAAAAATTTGGGCCCGATCGGTTCAGCCGTTTTGACGTTTATTGGATACAAACAGACAAACAGACAGACAAACAGACAAGCCAAATTTATATATAGATGAAATCTCTCACGCTATTTTTGACGGATTTCGAATGAGAGATCAAAATATGATTGAAAATAATCCGATACAGGCAGGATGCACTTCGATAAAGTTAGTTTTACGCAAGGAGAATTGAATAGAAGAAGGGGGCGATAGGGTTTCCGTACACTTTGTTGTGACGTTTTTGGACTGCTGAAGAACTAGTTTTTGCGTAACAACAATAACAAAGGCAGCCGATCTAATGTAAACAAACATGAGTTAGTATACGGTGAATCTTCATCTAACGCACCAGAGATGCCAGATGTCTGTTTATCATTTGAGTTATTGTTTACAATCTTTATTATTGTTGTTACGCAAAAACTAGTTCTTCAGAAGTCCAAAAACGTCACAGCAAAGTGTACGGATCCCCTATCGCCCCCTCCTTCTATTCAATTCTCCTTGGTTTTACGTGCTGCCCGTGCATAATTTAACGCAAATTTTATTTTTCATGTACGGCCAACTATGATTTTATGGAACTTAATTATGGCATGACACTTTAAGATTATACATATGATTATTTAGAATAAGATAAGATTTGTTTGATAGAACACCATACATAATTAACACAAGTCAACATTCCTGAATTTGTATACTATAGCTCTAAACTGAACCGACAGTTGGTGGTTCAGCAACGTGGTTCAAATTCGGTCCCAGGATTGTTTTTGTGGAGCGTAAACAAGCAACAAACATATTGAAGACTAGCTGGAGGGCACGGCGTTGCCCGTGAAAAAAAATGTTGAAAAAATTAATTTTTTTGATTATTTTAGTATAAGATACCACCGGCACCCATGAAAATTTAGCCCATTCGGTTCAGCCGTTTGGCCGGCTATCGGTGACATACATATGAATGTCTTGTTTTATTATATAGACTAGAGTAACCATGATTATTTAGAATAAAATGGTACATCATGAGTACATGATCTCAAATATCCTGAATATGTATATTATGGCTCTTTACTTAACTGAGCAGGATTGGATGATAGGGTGTCGCAACAAAATCTGTTAATTTCAACATTCTACCTTGTTTTTCCCTTTCAATTAGATCCCCTGCAGCATGCAAGGCCCAAATCACGAAAGTTTAGTATTTTTTTCTTTTTATTTACTCTCATCAAGTATTTCTTCAAACTTTATATTATTTTTTAGACACCATTTTGGATAAAAAACTGAGTTCTTGCCACAAATTCAATTTTTCTATTCTTTATATCTTTGAAACCTTTAATATTTCAAAGTAAGAATATTTAGTCTATAGGAATTATCAAAGATCTATAACAAAAGAAAAAAGAAGAAAAAAAATAATCATTAAAGTTTTTTTTTGCCCCGTGCGCGTCGTCGTGTTTTTTTCGATTCTACAAATGTTGAACCCTTCAAATAAAATATGTAAAACTTTCTGTCCTTGCGAAATTGGATTCATATCAAATATAATTTACACACCGACTCAACTACGATAAAATTGGATTCATATCAAATATATATAATTCACACACCGACTCAACTACGATAAAATTGGATTCATATCAAATATATATAATTTACACACCGATTCAACTACGATAAAAGCGAAAGTGGAAACTTTACAATTAAACGATCAATCTATAGAAAGCCTCAGAATGAAAGTGTACGCTCATCATTTATAATTAATAATGCATAGTTCATAAAGACAAATTTTCTAAAACATACATATGTTATAACAGTAACAAATATTTTTTCCTGATAAAATTGTCGGAGAGTAATAACTCTCATTTTAAATGTTTAATATTCAATATCAACAATTTACTTAAATGTGCTCAGTAATATTACAAAAAAGATACAAAAAATTTTAACGTAATATCAACCTTAATAATGTTCACAATTTTGGCTTTCAAAAAACAAATTTTAACACTTTTTTTCACTGGTCTGGGTGTTTACAGTATTAACTTTATTTACTAAAATATATCACATTTTTTTCAGGTTAAACGTGGAGATTTTCCAATATTTTTTAGATGTTTATTTTAATTTGTGTTCAGTCTGTTATCAGGCCTTGTCCTAGTGCTTTGTACTCGGTTTTGAAGTCCCACTGCCTGAAAAATATCATATTTGGCTTGATTCTACTTAAAGGTTTGAAAATAACATGTAGCATAATATTTATCTTTATTCTCTTGTTATTTAAATAGACCTTGTTTGGTTTAAAACATTCAAGTTTGTAAAGGCAAGGCAATGATTTCCATTTGTTACATAAGGCAAAATATGAACTGATTAAAAAGATACAAGGCCAAAACAAACAGAAAACAAAAAAAACAGTTGATAGAGTAGCTGTCAGAGTAGACTCTTAAGCACCATTAAAAACGTCAAAGGAATAAAAAACGCTCCTGCTAGTTGTTAGTAATATCTTCAGTTAAAGAAATGTATTAAATTATCACATGTATATTTAAACTCCTAGCATTTAACAATTTTAAGCATGTTTATAAATAATTCAGATTCACTTTATAGAAAAAAATTGTTCCACCGTAAATATAAAATCCAGTTCTTTATCAAAGAAAACACTTAACTAGGAAGTAAATCTATTTACAAGTCATGGCTTGAATATAATTGCGTTTAATTTGGCAAGTTTTAAGTTGAGAGATGCACTTTTGCAAATTATTTAATGCATAGGGATTCATTTCACATTGGATCTGCAAAGTTTAAAAGGACTGTTATAGACGTAATCTCATTTGACCCCTTATTTAAAAAGTGTTATGTCCAATTCATAACATTACACTTAAAACCTTTGTCTATTTTAGAATAAATGCGATATCTATGATTTTTTTAAAAGAAATTTATTTTTTTCCATTGTAGTTTTTTAGGAAAAGTGACTTGCAGATTACTTGCTAGAAAAACTAGAGGAGCTACGAGGTCACAAATTCGGACCTGTAATGTTGAATATAGAAAACGTATTAAAACCTATTGATAAGTTGATTTACCTGTGAAGCTAGAAATGATGAGAATGTTGTAGAATTAAAAGTATTTGCTAGACCCCCTCCTAGACCCCCTGATCTACCCTCACTACCATTCTTTTTCACATCAAGGGGCGGCAAGTGGGGCCAGGGGGGCTGCAGGGGCGCCATAGGAGATGGGAGCACCTTATTAGGAGTAGCCTGTAAGGGATCGATAAAGTCATTAATAGGAAACTGTGGATAGTAGGATGGACCAAGGGAATCATTGAGACCTCGTGACCCTCCCCCGCCTTGTTTAAGCATCTCAGATAGTGTCATAGAACTAGAGAATTGTGACGTCACTGGGGCGTAGGTAGGATCCTGAACGTAAACAAGATTAAATATAATTTTTAATTTCATCTCTACAGTTGGAAACTCTTGTATTGTAAATATCGAGATCAACACTTGATCTCCATTTTTTGTTAATCTGCAGATTAATTAAATCTTATATGGACAATATGTACACTAGCAGATTATAAACTATGTAATTTCTTTGCTGCATTCTTTTTTTTGCATTAATATGATGATTTTTAATACGGGTGGAATCTTTATTAACCACCGAGTCCATGGTATTCTCCAATTTGTCATTAGAATATGGTAAACTTTGACTATTTCAACATCAAAAAAATCGCTTGAAAGCCGATTTTATAAAAAAAAGTCTTTAAAATACTGTGAGTTTTGAAGAACTATAATTTACAAAGCAGATTTTCAAACACTTCGAATAACCAAAAGGTGATGATTTTAGACAAATATTTCCCTGATTTTCTTGACATTTTCCCTCCGGATTTTTATTTTTTTTATTTTTAGAAGACATATTGCTTGACTGCAGAAAAGATAGTTTTCCTAGTTCCTGGGAATTTTGTATTTTTCAAGGGGGGGGGGGTAGGAAGGAGGCAATGTCTTAGATATTTATTAAAAAGTTTTAAAATGTAGGAATCATGTGACCCAAAGCTCCCAAATATTTTCTATTTAAGCGTCTTGTTTAGAAGGTGATCATTTTAAAAACTTCTTTATTCATGTATGGCAAATTGTTAAGTCATTAAAACTAAATATTCTAAATACCTATAAAAAGAACAAGACATAAATACTATAATTTTCAATAATAATTAATAGCTGATAACTTTTGAAGATACAGACCTATTCTAAATCGATTCCTGATAATTCCGGTTGATTTTTATGTTGCACTCTAATCTTACATAATTGCAACGGCGTCTTATTTGCAATCAATAATAATTCCTTGATTCTAACTGCAATTGAGTCATTATTGCATTTTTTCTAATTTCATTCTAGCGTAATTACAATTAATTCTATTTTTTTTAAATTTTTTTTTTATACAAGGAAGGGGAGAGGGGGCGAAAGGGGAAGGATGAAGAAGGTGAAAGACGGAGGCTGGTTTCCCACAGCTTTCAAAAACGTGCACTCTCGCAAATAAAAATCTACCAGCATGTTTTTAATTACTCCTTGAACTGAATCTAGAAAAAAGTTCGCTGTAGTTCTAAAAGCTACAAAAAGTACTTGTGAGTTGTTAAGGTCATGGCGAGACAGAAAAGATCTTGAAAATTAATAAACAATGTTTATATCTGCCTGTATCACTGTGTACCAGTCTGCTAATCTTAATATCTGCCTGTATCTCTGTGTACCTGTCTGCTAATCTTAATATCTGCCTGTATCACTGTGTACCTGTCTGCTAATCTTTATATCTGCCTGTATCTCTGTGTACCTGTCTGCTAATCTTTATATCTGCCTGTATCTCTGTGTCTCTGTCTGCTAATCTTTATATCTGCCTGTATCTCTGTGTACCTGTCTGCTGATCTTTATAACTGCCTGTATCACTGTGTACCAGTCTGCTAATATTAATATCTGCCTGTATCTCTGTGTACCTGTCTGCTAATCTTAATATCTGCCTGTATCTCTGTGTACCAGTCTGCTAATCTTAATATCTGCCTGTATCTCTGTGTACCTGTCTGCTAATCTTAATATCTGCCTGTATCTCTGTGTACCAGTCTGCTAATCTTAATATCTGCCTGTATCTCTGTGTACCTGTCTGCTAAGCTTTATATCTGCCTGTATCTCTGTGTCTCTGTCTGCTAATTTTTATATCTGCCTGTATCTCTGTGTACCTGTCTGCTAATTTTTATATCCGCCTATATCTCTGTGTACCTGTCTGCTAATCTTTATATCTGCCTGTATCTATGTGTACCTGTCTGCTAATTTTTATATCCGCCTGTATCTCTGTGTACCTGTCTGCTAATTTTTATATCTGCCTGTATCTCTGTGTACCTGTCTGCTAATCCTTATATCTGCCTTTATCTCTGTGTACCTGTCTGCTAATCTTTATATCTGCCTGTATATCTTTGTACCTTTCTGCTAATCTTTATATCTGCCTGCATATCTTTGTACCTGTCTGCTAATCTTTATATCTGCCAGTATATCTTTGTACCTGACTGCTAATCTTTATATCTGCTTGTATCTCTGTGTACCTGTCTGCTAATCTTTATATCTGCCTGTATCTCTGTGTATCTGTCTGCTAATTTTTATATTCGCCTGTATCTCTGTGTACCTGTCTGATAATCTTTATATCTGCCTGTATCTCTGTGTCTCTGTCTGCTAATCTTTATATCTTCCTGTATCTCTGTGTACCTGTCTGCTAATCTTTAAAGATGGAGTAAAGAGAGGAGAGATGGGTCGACTCTCTTCTACCATCATAGTTACAGTGGAACACCGTTGGGCCTCCTAAATAATTATGTTGCAAATTTTACACTGGAAAAATGAAAAAAAAAACATATTTATCATGTTCGGCAAACTATCGTAATAATTTGTCAAAGATATTTAAAGAGATTTAAAGAGATTAAGTTAAATTATATAGTTTACCTTGGCTTCTTGGGCTGAAATATGTTTATAGAGACAGTAAATAAGACAACAGATCCAGCAGATGAGTATTGTAGGAACAGCTAGACTAGTAAGTAACATCAAGGGTTCCATCTTTAACTAGATCTAAGCAGATTAGTATTATAGGAACAGTATCAAGGGTTCCATCTTTAACTAGATCTAAACAGATTAGTATTATAGGAACAGTATCAAGGGTTCCATCTTTAACTAGATCTAAACAGATTAGTATTATAGGAACAGTATCAAGGGTTCCATCTTTAACTAGATCTAAACAGATTAGTATTATAGGAACAGTATCAAGGGTTCCATCTTTAACTAGATATACACAGATTAATATTATAGGAACAGTATCAAGGGTTCCATCTTTAACTAGATCTAAAAAGATTAGTATTTTATTTTATTTTTGAAACGTTATATTTTTTGGCACTTTCAAATTTTGAAAGAAAATACCAATGAATATTACTTTAAGCCATTTGGTTTGTAGAAAAATGTTAATTTACAAAAATTATATCATGTACATGGTAGAATGCAAAATGTTCAAATTTCAAACGAAGTTTATTTTTAAAGTTATTCAAATTTAAAAAGTTCACCCTTCCATTTAAACAGACCTTTAAATAAAATATTTAACACTTCCGTTAGAAAGTCTTAAATTATTCAGGATTTTAAATATAAAAGTTTTGAACCGCGGTATATTTACCATATTATTGCAAATTTTTTACCTTTACCTTTAACGGGTAGTTTACACGAATTTGGAAAGAGAATAATAAACAAATTAAAAGATGTGTTTAATGAGACAATTTTTTTCAATCCAATATTTCAGTTAGTTTTTGAAAAAAGTAACAAAAAATTTAATTTTCAAAATGTTAACCTATTCTAGTATTTGGGGAATGAATATCGCAGAAAAAAATGATAAAACTGAAAATCTGCAAAATTTGCAAAAAGAGATTTAATATTTTAAAAATCTCTTAAAACTTAATTAGTATTGAACAAATAAAAGTAAAACCATTTTTATTTGAATAAGTTAGAATAGTTTTTACCTACATCTACATTTTCCTTTTCTGAAGCAGTAGTTTCGTTTCATTAGTTTCCATTCTTAAAGAATTTCACTAGAAAAGTTTGTTTTACGAAAATATATCAGATTTCAATCTTAAGAACTTTTCTTATTCTTCGGCACATGTTGTTATAATTCTCTTTTCTTATTCTTCGGGACACCTTACTGGCACATGTTGTTATAATTCTCTTTTTCTCATCGCTTTTATTTTTAAATTCTTCTCTTGGAGTTTTATAAAGTTGTCATCTTATAGTCTTTTTCCTCTTGTTCTCTAATTTTATTCTACTTAGGTTCTTTTTCATTTGTTCTATTGATTTTTTGTTTGATTGTTTTCTCTTGTTCTCTTGTTCTCTTGTTCTCTTGTTCTTTTGTTCTCTTGTTCTCTTGTTCTTTTGTTCTCTCGTACTCTTGTTCTCTTGTTCTCTAGTGCTCTTGTTCTCTTGTTCTCTTGTTATATTGTTCCCTGGTTTTCTTGTTCTCTTGTTCTAGTGTTTTCTTGTTCTCTTGATTTCGTGTTCTCTTGTTCTTTTGTTCTCTTGTTCTAGTGTTTTCATGTTCTCTTGATTTTGTGTTCTCTGTTATTCTAACAATTTTATTATTAACTTGTTATCAAGTGTTCTATTATTGTGTTCTTTAGATTATCTAGATTCTTAGTGTTCTCTCCTACTCTGCAGATTGCTGTAAATGTACTTTAACTATTATGACTAAACTCTTAATTCTTCAGACTTTCCCTAAACTCAGGGAATTCTGTGTTCCCGACTCCGTGTCTCCGTGAGTCCGAACCCAATTTTGAGCAGGTCAGTAATTTCATTGATTCCTACTCCGGGTACACCAACTAACTGTAGCTTTCTGGTTCAGGGTAGAATAGTTCCGGGTACCCTTGACAACTTTATATAAACACTAGACAGCTATACCGTTAGAATGGAGGGGATAGAGTAGAGGTGTCACAAATATTAAAATGGAGAAAAATTGTTAAATGGAGCTTTAAAGAAAAAAAAGGTTGAATTATTTATAGATAGGATTCTAACGGATCTACACAATTAAAAAATACAATGGAGGTTTATATGAGTAGAATATGAATATTAGTTTATGAGTAAAATGGAGTACATGCGTATAATGGAAGTTATGAGATTTATGAATGTTATGATTAAAATGGAGATTATTAGTTTAGTGGAGCTGATAAGTATATAGAGGTTATGAATATAATGGAGGTTGTAAGTATAATGGAGATTATGAGCATATTTGAGGTCATGTGTAAAATGCAGGTTAAAAGTAAAATGAAGGTTATGTGTATAATGGAGGTTGCGAGTGGTATAATTGAGGTTATGAGATTAATGGATGCTTTGATTATGATGAAGGTTATGAGTATAGTTGAGGTTAATGAATGTTTATAACATAAGAAGAATATGAAGAGAAACTATATTTTGACCTAAATGTTAAAATGTGCTTCATTTTTTCTTAGATAAAAAATCCTGTTTATTTTCTACAGATGAACACATGATGCATTAAAACATAATTCTGCAGTTTCATACATATCATTCAAGTTGTCAACAGTCAACATGTATCTTTTAAATCCTATGATATTTCAATTTATTTGTTGAAACATGGTGTTGGGGTATTTTCATAGATAGACATTTCATAGATGGATATTTCATAGATATGGACATTTAATAATGTGCAACAAAAATCATAGAGATGACATTTTACAGACTATTTTTTTAAGAGTTACGTGACCGGTTCACCATTAATATGATATCGCCTTTTTTTCTGATAAATTCTGTAAATATCCTTCCTTGTCTGCTACATAAATCTGCATTAAAGAATTAAGCCTTTGCCACAAACTCAAAACTGTCCCTTTAGTATCCGGATACTGTCCCTTTAGTATCCGGATACTGTCCCTTTAGTATCCGGATACTGTCCCTTTAGTATCCGGATACTGTCCCTTTAGTATCCGGATACTGTCCCTTTAGTATCCGGATACTGTCCCTTTAGTATCCGGATACTGTCCCTTTAGTATCCGTGTAGAAAATATTGAGGCCCATTGTGAAACTATGTCGAACATTGTTTATATATTAATTACGCAAATCTTGTATTGTGATCAACCCAGTCCATGTACGTATATATATAAAACTTTGTCTGAGATTTCAGAATAACTTCTCAATAGAACTTAAGGGAAAGAAAACCTTGTAAAAAACAGGAAAGCCAAAAAAATTTCGTCGGCAGCGCATCTTTTGGTTCCTAAATCTGGATTTTTTGGTTCCAAATTAAATCTTGCACCCCCTCACTTAAATCCTGTATCCGCCACTGCCTCCATTGCTTCCTACTTTTATTCATCAAAATGAAATAAAAAATAAAATATATATTCTATATAAGCTATAGAATTAAAATGGCTGGCGAAAGATTGAAGGAAAAGCTTGGGTTAAAAGAATTACAAAAGTAAGAATGAACTTGAAATAAATATTTGATTATTATAAAACAACATAACGTTTTAATAATATGTTTATATATGTTTAATAATATGTTTAATAATATGTTTAATAATATGTTTAATAATATGTTTAATAATATGTTTAATAATATGTTTTAGTAGGAAAATAATGTTGTTAATAGTTTTAAATAGTTTTTTGAAACTTTGCTAAAAATTCCATTAATTGGAAAACTGGCAAAAGTTAATAAACTTTGCAAAAACGTTAGTCTTAAATAACATAAAATGAAAAGCGATCCAGATTTGGTCTATATTTCTGTCAGGGTCCAAAATTGGCGAAATGTAAGAAAATCCAATGTTTAGAATAAACAGTTTTAAAAACAACTGCTTTTCTTACACTTGGCAAAAAAAACTACCCAAACACGAACCAACGGAATGCATGCATAAGTATGGACAACGTTCATCATTTGATACAGGGTAAACCACAAAGGATGAGACTTCAGAGACGACTGTACGGAATTTATACTGTTTGTTTTTCATATTCAAGATTCCTTGTTTTTTTGCCAAATCGTTTAATAAGCCATTAGATTACTATATCTACGGCAGAATTACATGACTTAACCTTGTGGTCGTCAAACTTTAAGAGTTTCAGGTCGTCTTTACAGTCTCTTCTTTTGTGGGTAACCCTGTTTATGCTTTCAAAGCGGTATGCAATATGCATTCTTCGAAAGTTTAAAAAATAACTGTATCCAATTGTTTCTAGAGAGGGAGGATGGTTTAGGGAAATTGGAAAATCAAAAACGGAAGGAAAGGTTTTTTAAATACATTCATAATTTTTTTTAATGCATTTTAATGAAATAATCTTTAAAATTTGAGTAGCGTCTCACATAACAATAATGCCCTTCAAGGCATGCAGTGGTCAGGAAAATGAAAGGGATGAACCCAGGGAGTAAGGAATAGAAGGGAGATATAACTGACGCGGTTCGCCCCACCATATGATTATTCATGCTTTGCTTTGCAGACGGTACTCCATTTGTATATGAAATATTCAGAATAGGTTATTGTATACGCGGTAATTGTACATCAGACAAATATTTCTTATTCAAATGAAGTACCCGTCTGCAAAGCATGTATAATATGGTAGGGCGAACCGCGTCAGTTATATCTCCCTTCTGTTTCTTACTCCCTGGATGAATCATGATTAAATTATAAATCAAATTGTATCCTTTCTATCTTTCCTTTGTTTCTGTTAATCGATATTTTTATAGAAAATGATCGGCCTGTGACTTTAAGGCAGTGTTCACAATTTCAGAAAGGTACAGTCATGTTTACAATATTTCTAGAATCCAACCAACATGGTTTGTTTCAAATTCTCTTTAAACAAATGTCGGCTTTAAAAGATAATAGTTTGATTAGACTTGAGCCATTTCTTTCATTTTTCCACGACCCAATTATGTAAAAAAATTTAATTTCTTGCCAGTTTTTTCAAAATAAAAACCTGTTTCTGCCTAAAGGCACTGTTGCTGCAATGAATATGGGACCTTCAGGTAAGGATATCTTATATAAGCTTTGATAAGTTAATGATGTTATACACATTTAAAGTTAACATTTTATTTATTGTTGTTTAAAACTTTTAGAAATATTTTTATTATCAGTTTTCTCCAATTTCGATCATCAATGTTTTTAACACTTTTGTTAGCGAATATAATTGAAAAAACATACTCATATCATCGAATTTAACAACGTTTAAAGTTTTTCTTCATAATTTGAAGAATTTTAAACTTTCAATACTTTCACACTACATAATTTGACCGGATACAATTACTTAAGCACTATGGGTGCTCCCCCCCCCCCGGACCAATTCATATGCTCCCCCCCGGACCAATTCCTGTATACGCCTCTGCCCCTGACTCACATAAAAGATTATGAACTGTTTTTCAAGTAGATAGTCAGGTACAGATAAAGTATTTAAACTTTCTAAAAATTTTCTATTTTATTTGTTTTACTGCAGAAGTGAAGGATTCATCTTCTATTCTCTTTATGCTCCAGGGAGTAGACTTCTCAGCTTGGCACAGGTACACTTGGAGTTCAGGGAGGTCAGATAGTTCTGGTAATTCAAGTAGTTCATGTAGTTCTGGTAATTCAAGGTAGGTCAGGTAGTTTAGGTATACTTGGAGTTCCGGGTGGTCAGCTAGTTCAAGGTAGTTCAGGTAGTTTAGGGTGGTCAGGTAGTTTAAGAAACTTTCTAGATAAATCATTTAAATTAAGTTTATGCTTCAGGGAGTAGACTTCTCACAGCTTGACACAGATACACTTGGAGTTTAGGGTGGTCAGGTAGTTCAAGGTAGTTCAGGTAGTTTAGGGAGGCCAGGTAGTTATAAATCATGCAATTGGAGTTTAAGTAGATTAAGTCATGTTCTAGTTTAGACATTGATAAGCATCATGGGATTGTAGCCGTGTGTATATTGCCCATTGATTTGGCATCGATAGTTAACAGCTTCCGATTGATATCGATAGCTTACGAGATCGCGTGCCCAGTGGTAGTGGTGTTGATAGTTCACGGGATTGTTGCCTTGTGGATCGTGTCCTAGTTGAGACATTGATTAGTATCACGGGATCGTAGCCGTTTGTTGACAATGATAGTCAAGAGAAACTGAGCTGTATCTGGATAGATAGTTGTTCGGGAAACCGTTATGGAGTAGGGCATTTACTACAAGTCGACTACTAAGTTGAGCAAAATTAATTAAACAAGATTTAATAATCAATTTAGAAACGAAAACAGAACAAAACACAATTTATTACTTTTCAGATTATCATCGGATGAATATTTCTGTTTTCACTCCGGATCCAATATCAGGTTCATTTAACACAACAAATAGGATGGATTGCGCTTTTACCTTTTAAGATATGAAGGAAAATCAAACCAGAAAACTAAGGAATAGGGAAACAACCTTAGAGCAATCCTTAAAGTGTATTTGATGTTGTAACAAAGCGAATAGTTTTACTAGTAACTTAGCAAATCACTAATTCAATGAAATGGGTTTGTTTACACTGCACAATGGTTGTGTCTCATGCTCATTGAACTTCTTAAAGTCATAACTTGAATGTAAAAGTCGTCTTCCCATTTCAGAGTCTTTTGGTTATCACTGTTGAAAAATGTTTTCTTTTTCTTAAAAATATTTTAGTTTGGATTGAATTGGTTCTAAAATCTAAAAAATATTTTAGTTTGGATTGAATTGGTTCTAAAATCTAAAAAGTATTTTAGTTTGGATTGAATTGGATCTAAAATCTAAAAAATATTTTAGTTTGGATTGAATTGGATCTAAAATCTAAAAAATATTTTAGTTTGGATTGAATTGGATCTAAAATCTAAAAAATATCTGTAAACAGTGGGATCATTTTTTACAAATAACTTCTCCGACTCATCTATGTTCGAGGGAAATAAAAGCACCCAATTTAGGATTCATATGATAGACGGTTCAGGAGCCTACTCTTCCGTCCTAGTTGGACCAGTACTAGATTTAGACCCGGAGCAGGAGGAGGAACCCGTCCTACAGTATCTGGTACCTAGAGATACTTGGTTTGCATCCGAGCTAGGAAGGATATTCAAAAATAATTCATATTGGAATAAAAATGATAAATTTTCTTTATTTATTGCAAGGGAAGTGCTGAAAACAAAAATATTTAATCATATTAACATAATCTTACCAAAACTATTTAAGAAACTATATTAGCGTTGTAAAACTTTCAATAAACTTATTGAGTAAATAAAATTCTAAGGTTTTTACATGTCTATATTTTTTTTAACAAAGAAAACTCCCATTTAGAAATGGAAACAGCTGTAACATTGTGTGTATCTTTGTTGTTTATATATTGTGAAAAATCGAATAATATTTAATGTTTTGACTCGGTTTCCTTATTCATTGTTGTTTTAAGGTTTGATGCTTTGGAAACTGACCTAAAGGAAACTGACCACAAGAATGTCCGACCTATTTTTCGAGTAGTTTTTCGAAAATGTCCAGTAATTTTAACTCTATAGCTTGTTTTAAAGGATTTTAATCGACTACAACATATAACTATTAACTACGTCTTACCCCATTCAACTCCATTTACCGTCTAACCTAACCTAACCTGTTTTAAGATATAATTCCTTTTTAGGTCGGAAACCCCATAGGTCAGTTTCTTCAAGGTCGGATGAGCGGACACCAAGGTTTTCAGAGTGAAATTTAAATTTTAAAATTAAATTTATAAAAGCAGGATTATCTGATTAATAGAAAACTTTAATAGTATTTTCTAGATAGATAGTTAAAGATACGTTGGACTAATTACTTGTCTCATGATTCACAAGCTCAATAATTTCAAAGTGAATTTTGTATAATTGTAGCATTTTTCAAAAAGCTTACATCTGTTTTTTTAGGATCTACAACATTTTTCGGTATTGAAGATAATCAAAATCAGGGGGTTATTTAGCCTTTTAGCCGTCATCTTTGTTTAATATCCTGGGTTTTCAGTAAACAAAGATCTTGAGTCCTACTGCCTTGTTTCATGCATAGGTAAGTTTAGTCCTACTGCCTTGTTTCATGCATAGGTAAGTTTAGTCCTACTGCCTTGTTTCATGCATTTACCTTTCAACCCTCCCCTCCCCATGCAGCTCCACCCTCCCTCCTCCGCTCCACCCCTCCCTCCACCTAGCAACTATAACTCCCCCTATGGTTCTGCCTGTATGTATATGGAAGGTCAAGGATTCTATAAAATACAACAGGTTACACCGCAGTCCCACCATACATCATGGAGCAGGGTTCAGCTCTAGGTCTATCTTAGAACAGGCCTCATGGTTTATATTCTGTATTTGGTTTAATATGTATTGGATCATATTTAGTTTTAAGATTGACAGGTTTAGAGTCATAAAATTATTGAAAACCTAATAAACAATTCAAGATATTCGGAAAAGGTTGACTATGCATTTTTGTATTTGTCTAACTACTTTTAAAAATTTATTTATGTATCTGTGCATGCACCTATTGTTTAGATAATAGTTTTCGTTTATGTAGTTCCAGTTCTTAAACTTTATTCTGCAATTTTCAAATCTTTATCTTTATTTCTGCAGTTTTAAAATTCTTAAACTTTATTTCTGCAGTTTTAAAATCTTAAACTTTATTTCTGTAGTTTTCAAATCTTAATCTTTATTTCTGTAGCTTTCAAATCTTTAGTTTTGTAATTCTGTAGTTTTCAAATCTTAAACTTTATTAATGTAGTTTTCAAATCTTAATCTTATTTCTGCAGTTTTCAAATTTTTATTTTTGTTTCTGTAGTTTTCAAAGCTTAAACTTTATTTCTGTAGTTTTCAAATCTTAATGTTTATTAATGTAGTTTTCAAATCTTATCTTATTTCTGCAGTTTTCAAATCTTAAACTTTATTTATATTTAGTTGTTCCTCCCTAAACTAATATTTAGTTTAGTTGTTCCTCCCTAAACTAATATTTAGTTTAGTTGTTCCTCTCTAAACTAATATTTTATTTAGTTGTTTCTCTCTAAACTAATATTTAGTTTAGTTTTTCGTCCCTAAACTATTATTTTATTTAGTTGTTCCTCCCTAAACTATTATTTTGTTTAGTTGTTCCTCCCTAAACTAATATTTTATTTAGTTGTTCCTCCCTAAACTAATATTTTATTTAGTTCTTCCTCATTAAACTAATATTCAGTTTAGTTGTTCCTCCCTAAACTAATACTTTATTTAGTTATTCCTCACAAACTAATATTTAGTTAGTTGTTCCTTCCTAAACTAATATTTTATTTAGTTGTTCCTCTCTAAACTAATATTTAGTTTAGTTGTTCCTCCCTAAACTAATATTTAGTTTAGTTGTTCCTCCCTAAAGTAATATTTAGTTTAGTTGTTCCTCCCTTAACTAATATTTTATTTATATGTTCCTTCCTAAACTATTTAGTATAGTTGTTCCTCCCTAAACTAATGTTTTATTTAGTTGTTCCTCCCTAAACTAATGTTTTATTTAGTTGTTCCTCCCTAAACTAATGTTTTATTTAGTTGTTCCTCCCTAAACTAATTTTTTATTTATTTGTTCCTCCCTAAACTAATATTTAGTTTAGTTGTTCCTCCCTAAACTAATGTTTTATTTAGTTGTTCCTCCCTAAACTAATATTTTATTTAGTTGTTCCTCCCTAAAATAATATTTTGTTTTGTTGTTCCTCCCTAAAATATTATTCAGTTTAGTTGTTCCTCCCTAAACTAATGTTTTGTTTAGTTGTTCAAACTAATATTTTATTTAGTTGTTCCTCCGTTTGAGTGGGATAAGTTTGAACTCGGAGAACTAGGAACTCTGGTTCAACTGTTCCCAGAGCACCAGGAGAGGATCAAACCATTCTGTAGAAATTAAACCTTGCACCAAAATAATGTTTCTTAGAATTCATGTTTAAAGGGAGTGTTCGCGAAAAATGAAAGGGGGTATAGGCTTAATGCGATTAAAAAGCGCTTTTGATCGCTACTAATCTTACTTCTCTCTGTTGCGTCTATAAGGAGAAAATTGTTAAAAACGACTAATACCGAAGAACGTAGTGTCCATACAAATTCAGAAAGATGCAACATACGACTTAGACCGTAAAAATCAATTTTATTTCAAACAAATCATTCAGATACTACATTATATATAGTTATCGATTATCTTTCGCCACATTTGTATACAGTTGATTTTTCATAATATGTTTTAATTGTGATGATCTGAGAGTTACTTATAAAAACATTTATTCCTGTTTCGAGGATTTTTGCTAATGAAGACGACATTTTCATATTTTCAAGAAATGTTCGAAAACAAGTTTTAAGCTAAATATTATTTAAAAAAATAAAATCAAAACATATTATGAAAAATCAACTATACACAAATGTGGCGAAAGATAATCGATGACCATAGGTTGTAATATCTGAATAATTTGTTTGAAATTAAATAGATTTTTACGGTCTAGGTCGTATGTTGCATCTTTCTGAATTTGTATGGACACTACGTTCTTCGGTATTAGTCGTTTTTAACAATTTTCTCCTTATAGACGCAACAGATAGAAGTAAAATTAGTAGCGATCAAAAGCGCTTTTTTATCGCATTAAGCCTTTACCCCCTTTCATTTTTCGCGAACACTCCCTTTAATATAAAAAATTTAATTGATTGTCAACGTATTTATGGGAGACCTTTCATCTTTAAAAATGCCACCAGCGATTCACAAAAGTTTTGCTACATCTGCTTTTAATAAGAATAAAGATGTGAGTTGCGGCGCCTGGTGCAAAATTGTAACTTTTTTGTGCAACTCCTATATGATGATAAAATTTTAAAAAAGATTGAATCACAGAAAATTTTCAATAATAAGAAATAAGAATAAGAAAATAATAATAATAATAATAATTGAAATTCCTTAGATTTCTAGCTGATGTAAGTTGTTTCTCACTTTCGTTGTTGTTATGGATTTTTTAGATCTCTTCTAACTAAATCTAAAACACGTTTTACTTAGACAATAAAGATAAAATGTATATTTTGAATTACATATTGAGGATGAAAGAATATAATATTTGCAGTGTAAATAATTATTTATATCTTGTTTTTGTGGCTTATCACTCTCTGACAAAACTTTCTACGTACACGTTAATTCTAAAATCAAATCATCATTAGTATTAATACTGACGGGGGCAAAATGGCCGGCCATAGTATGCTACACAGAAAACCATTAAACTGTGGAATAGGAAGACGACATCAAAGCAATAATTAAATGTATTGGATTTTCTTAACAAGCAAATATTTATACTTGTATAACGAGGGAGGGAATCCCCGGACGCCTGAGCCTCTGCTATGCAGACAAGAGCCTTCCAGATTTTTTAGGCAGACCGAGCCTCCGCTATGCAGAAATGAGCATGCACAATACATAGAAATGTACCTGTGTAATACAGGAGGTTTTTTAAACTTGTGTTTTAAGTTTAAATAAAAAGATTTTTTTCAAATTTTTCGCGATAGTGGCATGAGCGGATTCTTAACAATAAGAAGTATTTATCAATTATTATAAAAAGTGCCTAGTTATGACTAATAAAGTGGTATATAACCTTTAAACATTTTTTACATGAAAAGGAAAATATTTAGAGAAAAAAAATTTGAATTGAATTTTATTTAATCTTCTATAATCTTTGATTTAAGTGATACCTTTTATCGTAGTTCAAATTAGATCTATAAAATTTGTATAATTTTTCATAAAATTTAACATGTGAGATAAAAATTATGTAATTTTTTATTTGTCACTGTAATTGGCCTNTGTTATCAATTTTTCATTAAAAAGATCATTATGTTTGTTTGTTTGTTTGTATCCAATAAATGTCAAAACATGGCTTACCGATCGGGCCCAAATTTTTTGTTCGATTTTTGAAATTTGGAAATCCATGAACTTTTTTTTTATAAAATTCGCGAAATTTTGCTTGTTTTTGTTTTACAATGTACACAAAGAAAATCACAATTGAAATAGAATTTGGGCGCAAAGCGCCCTACAAGCCTAGTTCATTAGAATGTATTTGACAAAATTCTTTCACACAAGAATTCATTAAACTAACTTACTCATTAGAATTCATTAAGAAATAATATTCCGTAAACCATCAAATTTTCAAAACGTGCTCCAAAAATTAATTTTAGAAATATATCACCCTTGCTTTGTCTTTTCTTGATTCACACTCTGATTTCTTTTAACTTCCTTATATTATAGAACCTTAGGTACTATTCCTGGGTCAAGGATGATCTTCATTCTCGGTCCATCATCTGTAATCTGCAAAATTTCTGCAAATACTTTCTGCACTCTGCAATCTATTGTGCACATATTGCTAATCTTTACTAGTGAAAGTGAAGCAACTTGTACATCACATCACATCACATCACATCACATCACATCACATCACATCACATCACATCACATCACATCAAATTTAATCAAATCAGAACACATGAATTTAAAAAAAGAGGTAGTTTGCTTAAAATACCAGTTTCAGCTCCTATTATTGTACTTTTGGTTATAACAGAACAAAACCGATTGAAATCCTTCAAAACAACTAAAAGCTGCTTATTTTTTAAAGAAATTTTAATATATTTGTTTTGTTAGATATTTTTACCAGAGTAAAACTGGAAAAAGTGTTTACAATTGAACATTCAACTGCATAGAGTAAAATAGTATTTATCATCAAAAATGCAAAAATAAAATTGTTGTCCGATAGGATTAAGATTCTCAATGATGAACTGGTAGACAGCGGAATAACCCTCAAATCAAAACCGATAATGCAGAAAACTCTTTATTTCCTAAAAAAATGAAATGTATAATGATAAATAAATTATTACAATGGTTTACGAATTTTATAATGAAAAGATTCTTACGATCTATTTAAGGATCTGTGGGTTAAAACCGTCGGGGAGTCCTAAGACGTTTTTTTTATATATTAAAACTTCTGAAAAGAATGACAATTAATTGTTAACGAAAGTCACTAATTCTTTATATGAAAATATTCTTTGCTTAACTTTTGAAATGGGTTCACAATAATAAAAGTGTTTAGACTCCGTTACCGGAGGACAAAGAAAATGGGGCGAAAATTATTTGGTTTGGTGTCTCTGAGAGGGGATTTTAGGTTAAAGACGACATTACATGGATGGACGGGGGGGGGGGTCTTATAGTTAATGGTTGACAAAAAATATTTAAAGAATATTATATTCTTCTTTTCCCTTTTAATTTGAATGATTTGAGTGTGAGGGGATGAAAGTACAAGGTTTAGGCTCACCAATGTCCACCATGGTGACAGTATAACCCTGAGAAAAGGTTAAGGTTTTATCCTTTCTCCACAAACCAGATTTATCTAACCATGGTCTTGAACTTTATTAACTTTCATGGTTAGTAGCTTAGATAAACCAAATTTCATATATATTACACTATTTTTTTGGGGGGATTTTTGTTAAATAACCCTGCATGGAAAAATATTATAAACAGTTGAAAGTGATCAGAAGGTTGCAAGCTCTCACGTAAAAATCGATGAGAATTTTCTTTTTTTTTTAAAGTTAGAGCTAAAAATACGTGATTTAGAGTTATAAAATTTACATGTTTATGGCTACACAAAAGTAAAAGTGAGTAAGTGAGGTAAAATCTAAGGCGAAGGCGTTGCGACATCTTCAAGGTCAACCCAGTCTAGAAAATTGATGCGACTTTCATACGGTGGTAGGTGATTATATCACTACAATGAAGACGACTTTCGATTTCAATATCAAGCTGTTAAACAGCATGGATACACATAAACATAGAAGTCAAGAGACGCTGTCAATTAAAAAAGCTTCCGTTTGATTGCTTGTAATTACTTGTAATTCGAAAAAATCTTGTTAACAATCAAAACTTAAATAAAAAGTCGTCTTCATTGTAATGATATAATCGCCTACCACTGTAGCATGTTTGGATCTAAGTGATCAACACGCAGCAGAATTGTTCATTTTAGCATACAAACTAAACAATATGGGTCAAGCTGTGAACTAGACATTACTGGTCCGAATTTGTCACCTTGTACAGTGATTTTATTATTATTATTATTATTGTTAGCATTATTATTATTGTTATTATTATCATGTTTTATCTTTTGTCTACAGTAAATACACTCTAATTTTGCCGGAGAGGAGAGTCAAAACTCTTCATCATTTTAAAGATTTTGAGTCATGGTATTTGGGAGTTTAAAACTGCTAACCATGGATACAATTGTCCTATAACATTTACCTCATTTAAATTTAACTGGTTAAGCTTAAAAATAAAATAAAAATTTAATTTTTGACTAAAAACAATAGACAAAAAATATGCTCTTGTGTTACCTAGGCAAAATGTTACTAGGAATTGTCATCATCATAATCATAATCATCATCATCATCATCATGAATATCATCATTGTCATCCTCAGTAGATAATTAATCAATTAATTATTATTCTTTCTTTAATCTGAATCTTAATGAATTCGATTATTTATTTATGTCTTTTTTTTCTCCTATTTCTGGTTTCCTTATTTTAAAACAAGTTTTCTGACGATGACCAGTTTAAACTAAACGTGATTGAAAGTTTAAATTTCAAGGACGTATTTTCCCAATTCTTTGTGTAAAATCACTTCTCACTGTCTCCTCAACTCCAGGTTCAACAAAAACTTTATTCCTCCAATCCTAAAACCTGAAGAGCCCTAAACCCTAAAAAAATAAACGTAAACGTTNTCATCTAGAGCATGCAGACAGTATCCTAATTAAAGCTATGCACTGATAATGAATATCAAGGTTATGCAATATGCATCTATCATAGGCACAGCTTACCTTTCTAGGATTAAAACACTAAAAAAGAATTTTGAATAATGTACATATAAATAATAATGTTTATTTATCTCTCTGACACAGCTAAATAAAGAACCTTTTGTTTCATTTTCTTATACGGAAGTATAATTCTTTTGTTCTTTAGTTACCCCCCCGTCTCGTATCTTCCTATCTTTCAGTATTATCTTGTATTATCTTACAATCCTACCGCGCTCTGTACGCAGCTAGCTGAATTTTATATCAAATAATAATATATATATTACGATACCTTTCTACACCGCGTTAAAGTTACAAATCTGAAACTTGCCAAAAACAAATTAGAAGTTAGATTGATAAATATAGATAGTAGATACCCGGAAATGGAATTCCGGAAATAAGTTAGAGCTTGGTTAAAGCTATCTGCCTACTAGGCTACTGTATAGACGGTTTGCTGAAGTCTAAAAAGCCACATAATATTGGTATATTTTAAATATAAATCTTTTTAAATCATGGCATTTAAAATATTCTTTTAACGCATGCAATCCTACATGAAAAGAGTAACAAAAAACATCAAACCTCCACTAAATATACTGAATAAAAAATATAAAAATATAAAATCATGTCTTTGTTTCAGTTTTTAGTGAATAAACAAATGATATTGTTTATGTAAAAAAGGTATCATGAGAATCATACAGAGTTTCAAGGGTAAACGTCTCACACATGCTGCAGAGTCCAAAATATACATCAAACCTTTCCCTGCGGATAAAGCGCGGAAGTTTCACGGATTTCCCGGAGTGTGCGTGAAGGGCAGAGCGCGCGCGAAGCACTGTCCTCGCTTCCTCGCACGTCTAGTGCGATCAGTAGTGAGAGGTCTGCTTAGGGAGGTGGTACTAATCTCCGCCTTTCATACGTGCAGCACGATATTCAGACAGTCACACGAGAAGAAGTAAGGTTGAGGTTTCCCCGCCCAGAACCGTCTTCATCTTAGTTTGTCTTCTTTCGTCTCTTTCGTGGACACGGACATAAATCGGCAAAACTTCGTTGGCAGTTGAGATCTTCGTCGGTTAAGAGCTCAATCGACGATAAGCTAGAGCAGTCTGGATTTGGTACCGCAGCTACTAGTTTTCGTGGCATTAAAATCTCTTCGCTCTACCAGTAGAGAAGAAGAGCCGAGTCCAACCCAATATTAATATTTAACTAAACCTACACCCTCAGTCTCTACACACGTGTAAAGAGGAACCCTCCCATATCCACCAGCTCCTACTAAACTAAGAATAGGTCCCTGCTGACCTACCCCCACCAGCTACCCCGACCACCTGACCTTGTACCTGTGATATCCTTGTTATTGATTGATTGTTATATAAACCCAGCACGACTGTGATAAACCGACTGCAATATGGCTTTTTACGGTCATCCTGCTCCGTTCCAGCTTTACGCCTATGCTCCGATGCCGATTCCCAATCCTGAGTTTTACGCCGTGTACCCCCCTGGAGGTCCTGCTGGAGCAGGGATGGAGGGAGGTCAATTCTTCTACGAACCCAGTCACAAAGGAAATTATGGACATCCAGGTAGAAAACCTTAAATATTAATTAAAAAACAAGATATTGACATTTTAAAAGTTATAGAAAGGCTTTTTTTGCAATGATTTCATTTTCATGATGGGACTGTTTTCTTAATTCATTATAAAACCATGTCTATTGACATCATGGGAAAAGTAATAAACTACGAAAATTGAAAAAAACTATTTTGTATGTTACAAATATATAAACTTGTAATATAAAATAAACTGGGTTGAAATCTTTTGAATGGACCGATTGAGTTCAACCTATTCTATCATTGCAGAGATATTAACCGATCTCTCATTGGTTAAAAAAAGCTGGGACAATGAATTCAGTTAATCCCCTCGCAAGGAGAGAATCAGTTTAACTCCTTCCATAAAAAGTTTCCAACTCTTAATATCTAATGTTTTTTAAAAAGTTGTCGAGCATTTTTTAAAGAAATTTGAATACAATTATGTACAAATAATTAAACGTAGATTTAAAAAAAATAATTTTGTAAAGAATTTTACTGAAAGTTTGGGTTTCTATTGCAAAATGTGTTTGTCTTCGGGTATGAAGATGTACTCTGTTGGTCTACTTTCATTATTCTTTCCCTGCTTTAACCAGTCGACTATTTGTCTGTTTATCTATCTATCCATCTAAATATGTCTGGGTTAAGCTCTATACCTGAGTTTCTCTCTCTGTACTCCTGGTGTACCCTGAGCACTGAGTTCAGTATTCAACGTGTTCTCCTGTCCTATACTCTTACTACTGCTTCTCTCCTTTAAATACATTTACATGTTGATTTAAACATAAACCTAAACCTTCTCCATTCTGGTAAACCGCTTCATTCTATCTTAATGTTTAACTCCAACTCGTGATTATACAGAATCCAACCCAAGGTTTAAAACAAGATCAAATACCCAAGGAGAAAGTGGGTTTCATCATTGCAACGTTGTCCAGTGTGAAATGTATCAAATTCCTGTACACAGACCTAGCCTAAAGATGCCGGAACTAAACTTTATTAACATGGATTTTGTAGGAAAACACTTTAACCGGAAGGATTCTGCCGACTCCGGTATCTCTGTTGACAGGAAGTCATCAACCAACTCTAATGTGAGTATTGGCAGTATCATGGAGGAGCCTGGAGAGGATACTATTAAGGAGGAGATTGTCTATGTTGAACCTGATCTAGATCTCTGTGAGAAGATCACCCAGCAGGTAAAAATAGAATTTTAAAAACATACTTTAATTGATTTAATCGAAAATGTTAAATTGTCTAGAAACCTTTAATTTCCAATAATTATTTAAAGGTTGAGTTCTACTTCTCCGATGCGAACATTACTAAGGACAAATTTCTTCTGAAACACGTGAAGAGGAACAAGGAGGGATTTGTCAGTCTCAAGCTCATATCCAGCTTCAAGAGGGTCAAGCACCTAACCAAGGACTGGAGACAGGTCGCTACTGCTATCAAGCAGTGCTCCAGCAGGTTGGAGATCAACGACGTCGAGACCAAGGTCCGTCGTCTCGAGGATCTACCTCCTTATGACGAAACAACTCCGTCCCGCACGGTGGTTGTTCTAAACCTACCCATGGATCGCCCCACCATTGAGGGAGTTGCAGAAATATTCAAAACTTGCGGAGATATTGTCCTTGTTAGGATCCTGAGACCAGGGAATCCGATCCCTACCGACATCAAGCAGTATGTTGCCAAGCACCCGGAGATGCTAACCAAGGTTTGCGCCCTGGTTGAATTCGAGAGAACAGAATTTGCTCAAAAGGCGGTGAATAATTTACATGAGGAGGAGGAGGAGAAGATGAAGGTGATGGAGCTCACCGCCACTCCGCTCAAGAATGGAAACAAGAAGATTGAAGCGCGGAAGTTGGCTGAAAAGGCCGCTGCTATGGCTAAGTCAGCTCCTCAAAGGAAGTACAGCCTTCAGAACAACTACAGCGCCCCCACCATGAGCCAGGTGATGGGACCCAGGGCTAGAAGGATCTCTCTGATGCCCAACATGAAATTTGGATCCATCCATGAGGATATGAAGGAGAATGTTGTTCCAAGGAAGGAGTACTCACTCAACCCCAACGCTCCATCCTTCCAGATGAACCCTGACGGATCCTTCCAGATGATTCCTCCGATGAACCAGAGGCGGAGAACCGGAAACCCAATAATGTATATGGAGGACGCTCCACAGTTTATAGGTATGCCAACCCGCCGTATCTCAACACACGCCTTCATGAATGAATCCGCCGTGGCAGGATTAAAGGTTCCAACCAACGTGATGAGGTTGCCCAAGGGTCCCGAGGGCAAGGGGTTCAGCAGCTGGTGCAAGAACAGGATGGACGTTAAGGAGACAAAACGTCCGTCCAAGGCGATACCAATTGTTGCTCCGCCGACCATTGTTACCCTGGCAGAGTCCCCTGATGAGAAGGCAGAGGAGGAAGAGGAACCTGTTCCTTCAACCTCCAAGGATAACCTCCAGGTATAAGAATCTTACAAACTTCAAATAAAACTTTTAAATCCAAAACTGATTGGTTCTAACCTTGAGTAATGTTTCTAGGTTCCTTCTATCAAGGTGGAGGCTGCATCCTCCGCTGAGGGAAGTGAGGACGAGGCTGTTGTCCCGGACAAGGCCGACTCCTGTGACTCCGGCCACGAGGATACCTGCTCCGAACCTGACGCTCATGAATACCCTCTTGGGGCTCACGAGAAAACTCGTTAAACCTTCAGTATTATATTCCGCTAGCCTAGCCTACCCTGTATATACTCGGATCCCATGACTAACCCCCACCAACCCTCTCTACTGTATGAGTGTCGAATCTAGTCATTCCATGAATCATCCTTAGACCCTCTTCTCCATCCTTTCGGTTTATCCTTTAGCCTTACCTTGCCTTTCGAACCCTACTCTGTCTTTCTTAGAAAGTTCAAATATTCCTGTAAAATTATTCATCCAATTATAAATTATAATCATGTTATTCTAACACTAAATTCCTTTCCTCTCTTCCCTGGCGCTGCAGCGGCTACCCCTGGAGAACCTGGAACCTGAACCTTCCAAGAAGAATCAAGATATAAAGCAAAAACCCTACCCTGAGCTGAATCCGTCCTGCTCTTAGTGTTTTTTAGTAGATTAATCTTCGGGACGGATTCAGCTCTCGTCCTGTCCTTCATTTGATCTGTACATAAACTTCATCTCTCTCTCCAGGTCCTAATAATAATAATAATAATAAGAGGCTAGTCATAAATCTAAATCTGAGTCATAATGTAAAATATTAATCTAGAACATTTTTAAACTTGCGGCCAAAAATTTACTTAACTCAGAAGCATACATTAATTCCTCCTTATAACAAAGGAATGCTTTTTTAGAATAATTGGTAGTAATCCATGATATACTGTACAGTGTGCAGTAAAAATACTTTAAACTTTTTGTATCAAAATTTATATATTTTTAAGGCGGCAAATTTTTGATTGGAAATTGACATTTCGGAATATGCGCATTTTGCTAAACTTGTTAAATATTTGTAATTATTTATAAATTATTTATTGTTATAATATTTTGTTTTCTAAAATATATATTTAATATATCTATGTTTATTTCTGAATGCGAGCTTGTTGCCAAGAAACGTCTACCAAATATAATATGTGAACTTTAAAATGTGAACCTATTGTATCTAGCATGATATAATCCTATATTCATCCGACCGTAGCGGGATATCTAAATATTAAATGAGATTATAAACTTAATAAAACAACGAATAAGACATAAAGTGTGTAGAAAATCTCATTCTTTGAAAAGCGACAGATTTTGGGCAGCTTTGCACCATTGACATATTTGTATACGAGTTTTTTTATTATTATATATACGACTGTAAACTTTTCTGTAGATTTTTAGAATTTATCTTTGTGAATTTACTGAACGACATTTCGGAGGAGCACACATTATAGTTAGAAAAACTATTAACGTACCCAAATAAGCGAAAACTTTGATTTTTTCTATTTGTTTAATAAATTTCATTTTTTAATTTTTACTTGAGATATTTTTTATTATTAGCATTGCTGAATTGTTCCGTTCAATTTCGGGTTTCTTTTTGAATTTTAAAAAGTTTTAGAAATTTAGTACTTTAATTTAGTACTTTAATTTAGTACTTTAATTTAGTACTTTAATTTAGTACTTTAATAGTAAAAAAAGACAAAATCTCATTTCTTACAGATTTTTATTTCGTACTTTCTATAATAATTTTTATAATAATTGTTCCAGAAAAATAAGAACGGGGAAAATATGTCCTTTGATTTTACGTCAATTATACTTTTTTGTAGTCCTTGATATATACATTGAAGAACTATAAAGCACCTTTTTAGCTTTATTTTTCAAAAGGTAATTGGCAAAATTCTAATAGACTTTTGCCTATAAGAAGAGCTTGCAATTTTTGGAGCCCTGTGACACCCCTTGATCCTACGCACTCCCCTTCCCCCGGAACTGTTTAGTGTAAACCAGATATAACCGACTTTAAGGATAGGATTGGTTAAATTAAAAGGAATGCATTGGTGTCTAGCCAATACATTAATTTAAAGGCACGATTTAAAGAGATTGTTCATGGTTCGAATTAACGACTTAAAGAGATTGTTCATGGTTTGAGTTAATGGCTGAAAGGGATTGTTCGTGGTTCGAGTTAACGGCTGAAAGGGATTGTTCATGGTTCGAATTAACGACTTGAAGAGATTGTTTGTGGTTCGAATTAACGGCTTAAAGGGATCGTGTGTGGTTCGAATTACCGTATTTAAACGGATTGTTCTAGGTTCGAATTAATGGCTGAAAGGGATTATTTAAGGTTTGAAATAACAAATTTAAAGGTACTGTTCATGGTTCGAGATAACGGCTTAAAGGGATTGTTTTAGGTTCGAGTTAACAGATTTAAAGGGATTGCTCATGGTTCGAATTAACGGATTTGAACGGATTGTTCTAGGTTCGAATTAATGGCTGAAAGGGATTATTCAAGGTTCGAAATAACAAATTTAAAGGTACTGTTCATGGCTCGAATTAACGGCTTAAAGGGATTGTTCTAGGTTCGAATTAACAGCTTAATGGGATTGTTCCAGGTTCGAAATAAACGGATTTGAACGGATTGTTCTAGGTTCGAATTAATGGCTGAGAGGGATTATTCAAGGTTTGAATTAAAGGATTGTTTTAGGTTCGAAATAACAGCTTAAAGGGATTGTTCTAGGTTTGAATTACCTGCTTAAGGGACATTGTTCATGGTTCGAATAAACGTCTTAAAGGGATTGTGCATGGTTCAAATTAACGATTTGAAGGGATTGTTCTAGGTTTGAATTAATGGTTTCAAGGGATTTTCTGGGTTCGAATTAACGGTTTAAAGGGATCAGAAATAACAACTTTTACCTACAAATAATATTAATAAGTCACATTTAGTGAGTGATTGAGTAAACTTAAGAGGTGGAGGGGGGGGGGGGGATTCGATTAGGCAATTTTAACTTGGACTCTGATTTAACTTGGAAAAATGCAGAATTTAGTTTGAAACTATAAGAAAACAATGGGAAAACCAATATTTCTGTCTGGAAAAATGTTGCTTTATGCGGAAATTTATGATTTTGAGTTTGGGAAATTAATAATGGGGGGGGGGGGGCTTGATGGTAAATTCTTCTTATAATAATAATTGTAAGATCAAGGTTTCTGGTAACCAAGAGATCCAGGGATTTTTATCCAAACCTCTCCCATGAAAATATTCTTAACAATAAACAGTAAACATGCATTCTCATGCATTTCTGCTGTTTTTGTCTTTATATATTCTTGAGGTTTTTAAGATTTAAACCAATTTACAACGTTAGCATGAGCTTTTATGTTGATGATTTTTAATACAGTGAGCACAAGAAGACTCTGGAATAGAAAGACGACTTTTAGACTAAGTTATGACTTTACATAGTCCAATATGAAGAGGAGTTACATTAATTGTGCAGTGTAAACAGACCCATTTCACTTAATAAGTTACAAATAAAACTATTTGCTCATGTTTTCTGGTTCCCACTGTATTTATTGATAAAAAATAACTCAATTCTTTTCAAGCCAAGTTTGTTTACATTTCTCCCCGAAGCTGCAGTACACTGTACACAAAGCTGTGAGTTCTTAGAAGCGTGTATTCCTTATTTTGAGTGATATTATTCTACTATTTTGCTTTGTTTTAGCTAAATCAAAATTTGCGATTAAAAGTAAAAAATGCTAACCTTCATAGTTTTGCTAGCATACAAATGCATCATTTACTTTCACGCCCTTGGGTTTATTATTGAATCCCTCGGGGGTTTAAGTTTCAATGAATTCTAATTTTCATGAGAGTAAATTACATTCTTTTATAAAAAGCCGGTTTTGACATGGACCTGAGCTGGGATACTCATGATCCCGATATCCACTGAGGGAACTTTTACTTATTTTTATTTAGTTATTCCTCCCCTCAACCCTTGACTAGTTTGATTTTCATGCAGGAAATCGAATACGATTAAATTAATCTGCAGATTAGAAAAAAGAGAAGATCTAGCATTGATCTCGATATCCACAATACAAGAGTTATAAATAAAAAGTTTATAGATTAGTGGGATTCAATGAAAATTGTTTCATGCCAAAAAAACAGCCTTTTATTAATGAATATATTTTTTCCATTGCGAACTTCGTGTAAAATTAGTTCTAAAGAAACTGAGTTCTTGCCACAAACTCTGATTTTCTAATCCTGATATCTTTGCAACCTTTGGACACCTAAGAAATTTCAAACTTTGAATTCTGTTAGATCAAATGATCTAAGCTTGAAAAATTAAAGATTAAGATTTGTGGACTAGTTATTTGAGTTTGTTGTAAAAACTCAGTTCCTTTCAGTCAGGTTCCCTCATTTAATTATTTACCTGATTATCAATGATGAATATTTTTCCTTTTTCCTATCTAGAAAATAAATATTTTTTTCTGTCAAATTCCCCCTCGGTTCAGCTGCATGAAACCACAGTTGAAAAGTATCAATTTTTAGAAAGAACAACAATGATGTAACCATCATATTTGCTTAGACAAAGGTTGAGAATTTGGAAATCTTGAAAAGAAAGGTCTCCTGAAATTTCTTTGACAGTCCATTTAAGTCCCACTAGAAAACTTGGTATAAAAACTAGTTTTTAGAACAGACAAAATTGATCAAGGTTTGTTTTGAAAATTTTTCTTAAAATATTTGACCTTATATAAATACATTAATCTTGCCAGTATACAGTTGACTTACTTTTCAATTGACTAAATTACATATTTATTGGAATATAAAAATTACAAGGCTTTTAGGGCGCTTTCCGCCCATCTTCTATTTCAACTATTAACTGTGAACATTTTGCGGATTTTATAATATTTTTTCGCGCATTTTTTAAATTTTACAAAAATAAATAACTTTAAAACACAAACTTTTGAAATTTTGATCCTTCATAAACCTTCCTTGGGGCCCGATCGGTTCAGCCGTTTTGACATTTATTGAATACAAACAAACAGACAGACAGACAAGAAAAGTATATATAAGAAGATTATTTAATTAGATTTGATTAACTATAGACGTCATCTAATGCAGATCATAACGTTGGTGCACAATATTTTGTTTTAAAAAAATTGTATTAATCTTAAAGAATGAAGTCAAAAATGGCATTTTTAACAAAGTAAATATTTTCTAAAAACATTTCATTTTCTTTGCAAAAGATTCTCACTTTCAAGTAACTAAACACTGCAGATATAGTATTTAATTTCATTTTATATTTTTATTCAACTACAAAGCACGAGATAAAACAAATAAAAATCACAATTTACTATGAAGTTTGGACCCGCATAACCAGAGTAGGTTGTTTTAATTGGCTGGCCAAATATAAACAATGAGAATTGTAAATGATAAATAAATGGGTGTACATATATTAAATATATTAAATATAATAATGATGATAAATCAAGAATAAGGTAAGGAGGGGGTGAGGAAGCATAAGGGAAAGGGAGGGTACTCAGCGGAAGGGTTGGAACAGAGGGTAACATATGTTATTAAGATCATATTTATGAACTACAGGGTGAAGAAGATAATAAAGACTAAGTTTATCCACATGATACACAGTTATTTTACAGATATAACTTGCATAACTATCTAAATAGATCTTGGCGACTTATTTTTAAACAGATAGTTTCTTTAAGCTCTAATTCAATCGAATGCTATATGAAGTTGTATTGCGGTACATGATTGATTTGAACTTCTCAATTTTGTTTAATTTTAAAACAGATATCCGAATATTTCTGGAAGTAGTAAGCACCTTGCACCCTCCCCCACCATTTTCTTTTGATATTTTCTATATATACCTGTTTATATAGAATGAACTCCGATGCACCCAGGCTTTAACCTCCCTCCCCTCTTCTCTTATTATCTATACACCCCACCACCTTTCCTCTTATCAGTACCCCCCCCCCCATCATTCTTGAATACACCATATCTGCCTGTCCCCCCTCCCATTATCATGCAAGTAC